CCCCCCAAGCTCTGCCCTGTCGCTGTCCCCCCGAGCTCTGCCCTGTCACCGTCCCCCCAAGCTCTGCCCTGTCGCTGTCCCCCCGAGCTCTGCCCTGTCACTGTCCCCCTTTTATCCCCAGTGTCCCTCAGGGACCTCATGCTCACAGCCTGCCCTGGGTGGGGGGTGGTGCAATTAAACCAAACCCCACATTCTCCCTCCCCTACCCCACCCCTCTCCAGCTCTCCCAGCTCTGCCCAGGGTCCTGCTGTCCTCCCGGGCACCCAGACTGGAGCCCTGCAGGAATTTCCGATCCCAGACTCATGGAAAGCGGGGCTGGGAGGGATGCTCAGGGTTTATCCTTTGCTCTCCAGCGTCACTACTGGTCCTTGGCTGGGTCAGTGCAGACAGACACCTGCTCTCTGCAGACAGCCCTGTATGGCTCCTGGGTGAGCTGTGCTGTCCCTGGGACTCACCACAGCCAGCCCCAATTCCCATCTCACTGTTTCCTGCTGCGTTTGCTGGGATTTGCTTTGGACCGACCCGTGCTGCCCATTCCCTTCTCCGTGTTCCCATCAGGACTTACAGATTTTATTGATCCACTCGATCCTTTCAGGAGCTGAAGTTAAACCCCCTGAGTCCCCCTTTCCCCATTTTAAGGATATTCCTTGTGTTTGTCCTGTTCCTGTTCGGACACTCGGCCTCTTCTCTACAAGATCCCAAAACACCTCATGGCAGCTCCAGGGTTGCTTTACCAAATTCCCTTCGTGTGAGTTAAATCCGACCTGGCTGATTTGGGAACATCCAGCGTCTGTGAGAGACCTTTAATATTCCATTTTCTTATTTCAGCCTCAGCCCCCTGTCACTGTTGTTTGTTGTTACTCACCTGATCACAGCTGACCTTTCCGAGGAGGACTGATGCAAAACAAATCTCTGCGTGCTTGGAATCACAGAGACATTTGGAATCACAGAGACACGGAGTCAGTCGGGCTGGAAAAACCCTCGGAGACCTCCGAGTCCAACTGTTCCCCCAGCACTGCCAAGGCCACCACTAACCCACGTCCCCAGGGGCCACATCCACGTGGCTTTGAAATCCCTCTGCCACGGACAACAGAGGAGCTGGGAGTTCAGCTGCCAGAGGGCAGGGAGAGATGGGAGATTGGGCAGAAATCCTTCCCTGGGAGGGTGGGGAGGCCCTGGCCCAGGTTGCCCAGAGAAGCTGTGGCTGCCCCTGGATCCCTGGGAGTGTCCAAGGCCAGGCTGGACGGGGCTTGGAGCAGCCTGGGCTGGTGGAAGGTGTCCCTGCCCATGGCAGGGGTGGGACTGGATGGGCTTTAAGGTCCCTTCCCACCCAAACCAGTTCCGTGCCTTTGCAGTGGTTTTTTTGTTAGAGCTGCTTTAATGCCCGAGCCATGGGAATTTCCCCATGTCCAATGGCAAGGGAAAAAAGCAGCAGCCCTTGGGATATGACCAGGCTCTTCCCCACCCCAAAGGGACGCTCCTGAGACAGTGAGGCCACCCAAACTCCTGTTCCACCAGCAGCCTGGATTCACTTGTGTCCACGGCTCCTTCCTCACTCTCTTCATGGGCTGTCACTGTCCCTGTTCAACCTCATTTTCTACCCCCAGGCTCTTCCCTCCTTCCTCTGCTCTCCTCACACTGTGATCTGGGCAGGGCTCCTGGCGAGTCCCCCTCTGCCAACCCCCCCTGTGCCAACCCCTCTGTGCCAGCCCCCCCTTTGCCATTCCCCCTCTGCCAACACCCCCTGTGCCACCCCCGTGTCCATGTGTCAAACCAGGCTGTGCCGAGGCCATTCCCGGCGTCCTCATCACCGAGCTGGAATCAGTTGGTTTGGGACAAACCCTCCATCTCACCAGACAGGAGCAGGTGGAGGAATCCCGGCAGAAAGGCGTCCGTGCCCTCATCCCAACTGCTCACCCCGAGGACGATCCCAAACCCCCCCGAGCAGGGCAGAGGGGGCCGGGCTGTGCTGGGCGGTGCCGAGGCGGCTCCGGTGGCCGGCGCTGGGATGAAGGAGGCGGTGCACGCCCTGGCCATGATGCTCATTCCTTTATTGTGCCGGTGCCGTTCTGGAGGGCGCTGGCGCTCCCGGGGCGCTCCCAGCGCGGGGTCGAAGCTACGTTACAGCACAGGGAGGAGGGTCCGTCCCGGCCGGAGCGGGGGACGGACACCTCTCTCCATACAGTATGTATAATATATATATATTTATAATATGTCCTGTATATTCCTATGTATAGTGACAAGGATGGGCCACCAGACAGTGAACTTTTGATTTCTAAATAAATCACCAGAGCAACAGGCACGAAAATTTGGTCCTAATCGAGGCCCTCACCTTGTCCATGAACCCGGAACAGACCCGCACCCACCCCCGCGCGGAAAAACCTCCAAACTGGAACCCAAAGGAACAGTTCAACAACAACAGAAGGAAGCCCCAGCCCAGCCCCGTCCCCCCGGGGGTTTCTCCCCGTGCAGCCCCTCGCACTGACGGTCCCAGACCCCGGGAACACCCCACACGCGGCACACACTCGGTGGGACACACGGACACCGACGGACGCCACGAACACACCCCGGGGCGCGGGGAACCTGCTCGGCCCCAGCGGCCGCTCCCGGCCCGGCCCTCCGCGGGCTCTGCTGGCCGGGGGGCTCGGCAGGGCCGGAGGGCTCGGCAGGGCCGGAGGGAGCGCTCGGA